AGAATCTTTCTACGCATCACCTTTTTTCTATTTAAACAGATTGGGAGCCTGAAATTCCAAAATATTTTAAAAATTCATCCTTAATCATATAGCCCAGGTCTAATATAAAAGCACATTTTCTTTACTGCATGTCATCCTAGTCATTTCTGAAATCACCTGCCAAGCCTCCTCTAGGATCTTAGTCGTGAGACACACCACCTTGAGCTGAACCCATCATGTGTTGCACAAACAATCCAAATTCAACTTAGAATTTGAACTATACAGATTTGACTAAACTATTGAGAATAAGAAGGGAGATTCTGTCACATTCCACAAAGCCCAACTTTGTAAAATCTAAAAACATTAAGCAGCTCTTTATCTTCTGCAGAAATAATAGCTAATTTAGTGTTCCTATGTGTCTGACACTCTTACCTGCAAAAACTCACTTCATCATTTAAAACATTAAGATGAAGTAGACATTATTATTACTCTAACTGTTCAGGAATACAAGTTACAGAAGTTAAGCATCATCTTTAGCTTGAAAAATAAGAGAGCTGGGATCTGAACGTCTTACGGAGTGCTAAGTCCTCAATCAAACTGAACTGCCAAGCTATGTCCAGCTGCCAGCCTCTTCAATTCTATTGATCTGCCTCTACCTAGATTGGCAGCACACCCCCGTCTCTTACTCCTCACCTCAAATACCCACCCCCCATGCCTCCAACCTAACAAATGTCCTTTGGATAATTCAGCTCTGCCTCTCTGTTAGGACCACCAATGAGATAAAAGCAAAGCTCAGTTGTTCAGCTCCCATTTGGCTCTAATAGCACTTTGTTTGGTGAGCTTGCTTGAGTACATCTACTGTCACTCAAGCATGATAATCATTCAGCTGAAGAAGCTTACATAAATATTCTCATGATGTCTTTGTTAGATGAAAGGATTCTTCTTCTAAGATCTTTTCCCCATATCATTATGGGAGATTATGTATATGTAGCTCAGGGCTCATATCTGGGCTTTTGAAAGACAACTGTGATTGAGGCTGAGATGAGGACATGTGGAGAGGTGAAGGGGCCAAACCAAGAGCCATCTAAGAAAATACTGCCATAACCCCACTTCTAAGAAGTGACCAGTGTGGACCGAGCAATAAACAATTTGGTATCCATACATTGTTATCTTAATTCAAAGGTAATTTATATCCTCA